TACTGTAATGTTATATTTGAGAAATAAATGAATCTGAATCTGAATCTATTTTAGGCTTTTAAAATCTTAATAATATATATATAATAATATATAAAAGGATTTTCATTTTTCTTATAACCTATTTCACCGACTAACTCCGTAAACGCTCATTCAAACATTCGATTCGGATACGATATCCTTATCCAAAATCCAACTCGGAATATTCTGAATAGCTCGGAAAGCCCCTTCGATTCGGTTAAAATATCGAAGAGTTCTCAATAGGGGTCCAGGAGGGGAAATTCCAGGGTTCGATTTTTTCCCATAAAGTGCCGACAACGCAAGCTGCTAGCAACACAAAACCACTTACGTTTATCGAGTCGCGACGGCTCGGTGGAGGCGTGTTTCAACCCGCCCTGCGTCGACATCTTCTTCTCGCTACAAGGGCCGAGTAGTAACCATCTTATGTCGGCTGCAATGCAAAAGAAACCTTCGTTTTCATCACTGCTATAATAATTAAACGTTATGTTTATTGCTGTGCTCAAAATCAGCCATGGTCGGCAATAGGTGTTCCCCATACATAAATACATGTGTAGATATAGCTACAATGAGTGACATAGGTTGTTAAAACCACTAAATTTTAATTAGTTACTTTTTAAGCCTAGGAACCGATGAGCAGTGGAGCAAAAGAGCGCTAGAGTAGAGACCGCGGTTTCGGAAGTGTCGGCCGCCGGAAGGCTAGATCTTACGGACGGAATAGTCAAGGGAATCAGAAAAAGCTGGATGAAAACAGTCCAGGATCGGAGAGAATGGCTTGTAAATGAGGAGACCCACACTCTAAAGGTAGATGAAGAAAAAGTAGTAATCAATGGTTGGAAAAAGGCGTGCCATATATAGTTACAAGGAGGGACATAGAATTGTTAAAACCACCAAATTTTAATTAATTACTTTTTCGATTTCCGGAAATGGTTTAACTGCATCGTAGGACAAAACTACTTATTATAATATAGTTGGATTTTACAGTAATTCTAGTGGTGCCATGTAAAAAAATGCAGTTAGTTAACTGACTATTCATTACAGTAAAGCTTGGCGGAAGAAATAACTATGGTGGCAGTACTTCCCTGGACGAACTCTTTCACAAGGAGCTCTACTGCTACTAAAATGATGACAATGACGAAGATGCTAATAATGCTGATGCAGCTGATGATGCAGATACTGTAGATAATACTGGATATACTTGTAACACCTTTTTCCCTCCATTGGTCATCAGTCAAGATATCAAAAACGCCTCCGCTAAGTTAGGTCACACTCAAGGTTGTATACAAAAGCTTCTGCAAACCAAACCGTTTCCTATTACAGTACTAGAGTTACATTCGCAGCGATTAAAATTAAAAAAAAACAGTCGTACTACAAAAACTCAATAAAATATTATATACCATCTCGTCGGCTAAATATGAATCTCGTAACTCCAAATGTTAGACATTTCCAAGAATTCAGAGACGATATTAAGTATGTTTATTTATCCTCAACGTCAATTTATTTATTTGATCATTTATTCCATAGGTAAAATTTTTACACTTCAAAACGTCATTTTATAAGCTACTTGTTCACTCTGCCGACTTCCCTGAGAAGAACGAGCAAGAAACTCTAGGGATTGCTCTTTTCAAATAAACTTAATTGCTATAGAATACACGTTGAATCATATTTGTTTGGAATCAAGACTCATGTTGTCTTTCCATACATCTTTATCTACCACGTAGTCTACAATTTTGTAATATGAGTTTTCAATTAAAATACTTTTAACGTAAGTTTTAAACTTTGGAAATGGTAATCTTAATATATGCTCCGGAATCTTATCGTAAAAACGTATACAGTTCCCATAAAAGAATCGTTTACCTTAGCTAAACGAAATCGTGGTACCATGAGTTTGGACTTAGATCTAAGGTTAATATATTGAATATCTTCTATCTTAACGAAATTATCTATATTTTTACGGGCACACAAAATATTTGAGTAAATGTACTGTGATGTCAGTCTTCTTACTATTTTTTTAAAGGTAGTAAACACAGAACCAGAATGCAATAGGCAATTGATGAGAATTTCCGATAATTTGGCATTGGTTGCTTTTTATTAATTCGACCTTTAGTCGTTGGTCCACAGTTCATTTATTATTAATAACAGTATAATGATTTGTAATTGGGCGAAAAAACGTATTTACGCTTAAATAACCAAATCCACCATCACTTCAAATTCGTATATATATTTTTATTTATTGTAATTAGGTTTTTCATGCGTACTTTATGTTACCTTGCAAAACGCAGTGTCTATACGTACTATAGCCAAAATTCGATATGGAATAAATGTCAACAAACAAAAATACATGTTTTTTTAGGGTTCTCATCTCAGATGGTTTTATAGTAACCACAATGTTTCCCCGAAATTCGATTAGGCTATTGTTTTGAAATAAGTAGTTGTAGGGACTGGTCAACTTATGTCTCAGGGTGATGGGCGCAGTGGCAGTGCCCCTCAGATCGTTGCGATTTAAAGCATTGAGTGGTACTGAAAATGTTATGGACAGGCGTATTGCTTACCATTGTTCGTCCCGTCACTTGATATTACAATAATAATTTTAATATTCCTATAATCCTGTTATAGGCAATTTTTTTCCAAAAAATACTCAACGAACGGAGTACTTACTTGCTGAAAAAGAAGTTTCATATATCCCCTCCAACATATTAATAATCTTTTAGATTCAATAAAAATTTAATTAATACAGTGAATAGCGACATCTCTCGCCAGGACTGGTAGCTGTAAAGGTACTAACTGGGTGATAAATCTGTCATAGATTTCTCATAGATGGCGCTACGACTAAAAAGTCGTTGAAAGACGGTATGCAAGAAGACGTCGGTTCGAATCCGACCGGATCGAAGGAATTTTTTCTGAGTGTTTTTTCCGAGTGTTCGATCTTTGTATTAATAATTATAACAAACTAGTGAAGTAATTTCACAAAAAAAAATAATTGAATATCAATTCAATAAAAATTTAATGAATCTTTTAGATGTTAGATTCATTATTACGCCAACATCTTTTTTTTTCAAAATTTTCAAATATTCAAACAGTCCGATGCTCTACACACAAATGGGCTAAAGTAACACCACAGGTAAAACCACGGAAGAAAAAAACAATGGAAGTGCCTAACGCCTCGATTACTATCAGAACCAAAGTCGCCAAAACTCACATATTATTATTGTGAAACACTACAAAATCTTGATATTGATTGGTCGTAGTTTCAAATTTAAAAAAGAAATAATACATTCTGGATTGTTAAATATCATTCACTTCACTTTTTATTTTTATGGCTCCATCAATATGAGAACTGATGATTTTTAAATATCATTTAAACTTTACCCTGTTGGCATATCGTTGAAAATTCAATACCGTCAATACCTATTATACAGGCTACGTCGTTTTGATATTACGTTGAAATTTCAATCAATGTGCTGTCATCTAGCGGTTTATTGCTGAACGATGACGAATTGTAGTTATTAATTTAGTGCTCCAAAAAAGAAGCGACCATATTGCAGGGTCGTTTCTTGTAACAAAAAAATTCGATAAAACAAAAAAATACTTTCCGATGATATGGAATACCACTACGGGTAATGTTTTTGATGCAGCTATCATTTTTGCACTGCAAAACAGCTTAATAGAACTAATTTGCACGAAAGAATGACACAAGCACACCATACAAAGCGAAAATGGCGGACTGAGCTGAGATAGGTCTTTAGAGACCTATAGTTGGCGCCTTCTACTGTATTTATTGTTCTGTGGGTAAAACTATTATAGTACATTCACGTCAAGCGAATGCATTATGAAATCATAACACTGTACTTTCACGTGTCAGCCATGCGATTGGTGACTTTTAATTTCGCACTGAATTACTCGTGATAGTAAATCAACGTGATTCGTCAAGATGGCATTTCGTAAGCGTAACACAAGTCACGTGATTTTAAAGGCGCGTGATTGGTCTGTTTGAATTGAACATAACATTCAACGTGCATAGGCTAGGCATGTAGGTTGGAGGTATATTAAGCTAATGGGAATGCGATCTCAAGTGCAATCGTAAAAGAGGAATCACGCAAGGTTAATGGTTCAATTCGCATCGGACCAGTCGTGTGTTGGACTATGACCTAACATTATATCTTATCAGTAGATAAGACTGTAATACAACTGGGCAAACGTCGGTTTTTTTGTACTAATCAGAGGAAGCTTGCGGCAAGCGCTATGTATTCACACGTTTGTGCTAGTTTTGATGATTTTGCGATGACGTTTCATTTTGAACCATGCGTAGTAAATCTTACATTGAATAATATTATTGTCATTTGTGTGTACAGAAATCCATCAAGAACAAAAAGACACATTGAATATTTTCTTGAAAAGCTGGATTTACTACTTCGTAAATGTTATAATAAATATACGAATAAGAAAATCATTGCGGCAGGCGATTTTAGTTTAAATATATTGGAAACAAATCCGCATACTAGACGATTGTACGATATTCTAAAGAACTACAATCTTGCCTTACACATTACAGAACCTACGAGAGGAAAATCGTCTCTTGACCTTATTATTAGTAATATCCATGACGCAATTGGTTCGATTTTCCAGTTATGGCTATCCGACCATAACACAGCACTGATACTAAAATTTAAAGTTTGCGAGAAAAAGAAACTTCCTGATACCACGTTTACTTACAAAAAATGTTATTCTAACGAAAACCTACGAAAATTTACAGAGTATTTAGGCAACCTCTCCTTTTTTGACACATACAAACACAAGCCCTTGAACGAAGCATTTGATGAGTTTTACGATCGTTTTTGCATTCTATACAAACTCTGTTTTCCAATAATAAAACTGAAAAATAAATTAACGTACAAATCACGGTGGGTAACGAAAGGTCTAATTAAAAGCTGTACAAGAAACAGAAAACTTCGTTATAACTACTACGCACAAAAAACAAATTACGATCGATACAAATACAAACATTACAACAAATTACTCAAAAAATGTATTAATTGTTCAAAGAAAATAGCAAATAAAAAATATGTACTAAACAGCAAGAATATATGTAAAGCAACATGGACGGCAATAAAAAAAGAAACTAGTAATATCTGTTCCAAACAAATGTTCATAAAATTATTGACAATGACATTGAAATAACGGAACCCACTAAAATTGCAACTACAATTAATAATTATTTCATAGAATCAATTTCCAATTTAAAACATAATAAACAACATACTATCCCTAATAATAAAATTTTAAATTCAATTTTCTTTACTCCTGTAGATGAGAATGAAGTTAGTAAAATCATAATGTCGCTAAATAATACCCCGTCTGAGGGTTATGACTCTATATGTACAAAAGTCGTAAAACATTGCAAGGATCAAATAAGCCACGTACTTGCCTTTTTA